CCTAAACGGATCATAGTTGGTTCAACTAGCTTCCTTACCCTTCGCACCTGTCGACTCAGATGTGAAGACCCTTACTCATTTTTCACTACACCCGGGCGCCGATGTAGAGCGCCACTAAGGAAGCGATGACCCGATCCTTGCTCACTTGACACCATGCCCAGATCACGACACAACACGTCACCAAGGGGGTGTCGACCTAGCTCTTGCCCATTTAACACCATACCAAACTTAGAAAATTCATACGACTTCAGAAAAATATGAAACTAGAGTCCAATTTTTCTAAAAATGAGCTCTACGTCATAGGCTTATGTTTGAGTGCATTTGGATCTTTTGAATTTCTGTTGCTTCTTTGTGATCATCTATAGGAGTTGCTTATCGTGGCTATATGTCTCGTTTGACAGACCCGGAGGAGCCGCAAACTAAGGAGCACAACCCCGACTACACTGAGGAGCTTAGAGACGACCTGCTAGGTGCCACGTCCCACCCAACCTCATAGAATCCTATTAGACATGCTACAATGTAGATGCTAGTGCTTTACTTTTATGCAAATGATCTGTGATAGGTTGTATGGTAGAATTGCTTGTGAGCCATTACCTTGTCGCAACCTATACCCCTACACACCCGCTGTTAGTCTAGATGCTCGCTTATTTACTTGCTACTGCTTCTACTATGCATTATATCTGTGATGTGATGCTTGGTGGAGGATTGTTTGTGAGTGGTTAAGGCACTTGGTGCCGATAATGTGGTAACAACCGGGGAGATCTTGGCGTGCGTCTTGGGTGTGTGGTGAGGGCTGAGTCGATCGGGCAGGATCTTATGATGAGTCATTGGACGAGTCTTGTCGGGGGGTAAGACCTGGGCATCCCCTACGAGAGGTACTTGTGGCGGGTGCATGTGAGATGAGGAGATCCCGAGGTGGAGTGTCTTTATGGGATGAAGCCTTGGGATGGAGGTGCCATCAAGGAACAGGGTTTTGGTTATCCCCTTTGAGAAGATATCCTGCCCAGTTCCCCTAAGGACTGGTATGTCGAGAGAATCGGATCATAGGACCCTACGTGCACACCGCTCGTTCCTGAATGGGCGGGGGACGGATGCTGACCAGCTAGGACGGTGTCACTACTACTAGGTTGGAAGTGGATAGTGTAGGGAGGTACGGGCGTATGGCTCACACCCTCCTAAGACAGTGTAGTGACCTCTGGGGCCTGATACTACATCTCACAGTCTCAGCGTTTCGGTAGACTCCGGGGTGGCCCAGGGCTGAGTGGTAGGGTGGCATCGCACTGGTTGGAAGGTAGCCCGGTATCAGCCTAGGCGAGGCACCGCTGATGATGGTGATCTTGTGGTTCTAGGTGTACATATTCTGCAGAGTTGATCGATCTATACATATAGCCGAGTCCTCGGATATGGATATTCCTATGACCTACGCTTCCCTTGATTAATGAGTGGAGTCCCTTCTTCTCTTCCCCCCTAGGTTCTTGTGTTGGATTCCGGCTTTGGCCGATGAGGCAAGGCACGAGAGGGAGTCATCCTTGTCGTCTAGAGAGTGTAAGAGTGGTGAGATGTGTGTGATGGGATGGGAGAACGTGTGGATGAGATGGGTTAAAACTTGATGAATTATTATTAAAACTTGACATACTCGTATAGAAAAACTACAACCACAATCAGGTCTTTTGCTCTACCCTTGTATTCCACTACCACAAAGTGAATGCAAAGCATAGGGTGGGAGCCAGTGGTCAGTACAAATCGTACTGATAATTGTTTGACAGGTTTCGAGTCTGAGTACGACTACCAGGGAGATGGTTGGGAGGATTAGAGGTCTTGTTACTACGCTCAAGTTTGGTTCGTGAAGATGAAGTCGATGCCCGCTGCCGTTCTACTTGATGCTGTTCTAGTTGCTGCATGCTCTGAGTGATTCCGCTAAGTGGCGATGTAATAATGAGTAAACCTTGCTATTTGTACTCTCTTTAAGACAGGTATTCGATGTATGACTGTGATATCGACTGTTATTTGATAATGTGATGGGATGATCACCTGGAGCTATCACGTTATACTTCGAATCTGTGGATTTCCCTTCGTGGAAATCGGGATCATTTCACCCACTCATGAGACAACATCTCACGTGATTAAAAATGCATCGTGGCCGTATAAAAAAACAAAAAGGCCTGCATGCGGACACGCGGATGCTCGCCCCTCCACACGTTTCATGGCAAATTCCTAGCACCGTATCCTCTACCTCTAGCGCGGTTATGATTATAGAACAGAGCTGCAATGTCAGACTTTTATTCATAGGGGCATTTTTGTCATTTGGCAGCTACCTTGGTTTTGCCGCTCAGTCCTAGAATGACAGTCTTTTCGGGATAGAGGGAGTACGTAGGTTGGTGGCTTAGGGCATCTCCAACAACAAGAATCACTTGCTAGCTCTTACATGCCACATCATATCGTGGTCTCTTTGTATAAGGCTTTCTTTATTTCACTTCTTTCTGTCCTACCATCTATAGACCCAATCCTTGCCGTTTATTGATCTTATGTACTACCTCCATCCAAAAAAATGCAATTCTGAATTTAGATCGGGTCAAACTTTATTAAATTTGGCTTAAGTTTATCAAAAAATATTAACATTTAAAACTCCAAATACGTGTATAATAAAAAAACATTGCATGATTAATCTAATACTTGTTTAATATCATAAATGTTAGTATTTTTATAAATCTAATTGAATTTAAAATTATTAACTCCTCAAAAGCGAGATTTTTTTTTTTAAAAAAAGAGTTACCTATGCAGAAAGAGTGAGTCAGGAGAGTGGAGAGGGAAGCATACAAAGAGGGCTATTGTTCCCTCGCTAGCGTGCGCACAATTTTTCTTCCAACATTGTGGTAAGAATGGTTGCTCCAAACTAATTGTCGGAAAAGCCGCTATAGGATACAGTTGCACTTCGGGACAATAGGACTATAGGAGAGTCCATAGATTATAATGTAGCTATTCTAAACATGAGTGTTATACAAAAGAAAAAGGGAATATCTACTAACACTATTCTACACCTTTGGTGGAGGTTGTGCCCTCTGCAACTTATTTCAGCTGCGGCCATTAATAACTCCGAACTAGCTTCTGCTGTAGTTAAGAGTTGTAGAAACTGAAGCCGCATATGAAAAACGAACAGATATTCCGCATATAATAATCCCTCTCCAATTCAAGATATTCGTTGCTTCTATTTTTTTTTAAACGAACCAGGTGGAGAGCTGCCGATTCTATATACCTTACATAGTATTAAAGAGGAAAAATTTCTGCCCACCTAATTTTCGTCCGTCCATCTTCTTTTTCTCTACCAAGTCATATGAATGCATCCACGTATCAGCTCCGTCTCCTACCAATATGCGTATCAGAGTTCAGCTCAGATGTCTGTTCCAGTACGTTCCGATTCTCCCTTTCCCTTCAAGAGCATGTTTTTTTTTTTACTATTAGTTGGCCGGTTCCTTGTAGAGCAGGGAGCATACGTTCCCTCTTTTTTTTTTGAATTTTCTATTCTCCCTCCGCCCCCTCCCCCACCCAAAAAAAATGTTTTCTAAAATAAATTTAAAGATGCGATGCGATTTATCTATATCTAATATTAAAGAGTCAAAATTTCATCTTATTTTTTGGGTCCATCTCCCTCTAACTACACGGCCAGTGGAGAGTTTTTCCGTCTCACTTTTTTTACTTGACTTGCACTTCTGACCCATACTCATTTCGAGTTAGAACAGCTCACGTTTAGCGATGATAGATACAAGATCCTATTACAATACGTATTGGGTCACATCCTGGTATCTCATATATGCTCATATCTTATGATGATACGGAGTCTGATTCGTATACGTAGTGGGTTCCGTTGTAACGCACGGGCACGATTGCTAGTATATTAAAAAGCAGATAAAGCCCAGGCTGGGCAAAAATAAACAGATACAACTCCGGTCGATCGGATTGGAACATCAACACACACCGAAACCCCCAAACTCAAAGAAGAATAAACAACTCTGGCCGGTCGGAATGGGACATCGACACGAGCCGCGACTCAACATAAAACACACGCTTCACCGCCACCAAACCACCACGACTGGTCACTACATTGCGCCACCACCCCCTGAAAGACAAAGCCGTCAAGACAAAAACGCCATCGTCACCGCTTGCGCCGTCGTTGCCGACGATGTCCCGCACCGAGTAGCTCGCTGCTAAGATTAAGAAAAGTGGACCGATTCTGTTACATTTGTTAATACTACTATACTGGAAAGATATGCTAATTTATTTGTGAGGATGAAAGCACTCACAGTATTTAGAAGAGCATGAAAGGAAGAAAATGAGAGAGAGAAAAATGCCTCGAAGTTCAAAGTTCTAGGATGGCATGTATTTCGAAAGAAATTGAGAAGGCTTTGTACTTTCAATCAGAGGGACTATGTATTATTGAACAGAACACTACTTACTAGATAAAAAATAAGCCGCTCTAAACAAATAATAACATTCCAGGAATTGAATTATTTTCTAAATCTAATCTAAATATATAAAAGATTCCTCCAAACTAGTAAAAAAGACTTTGCACGTTGTGCTGATTCCAGTGCGCGCCCATACTGCGAGGAGCAATCCATGAAGAGCAAACAGGTTTTCATAAACTCTCTACTAACATATGAATGGTTGAATACTTGATGTTATTCAACATCATGATCCAAAGTTGCTCTGATGTCAGTCTCTCGTTGGAATAATTGCTTTCACAATACATTTACATCGCTACGCTAGACTATCTCAATCCGGAAGAAAATATATACAGGTGAAATAGTACATAATGAAGAGGAACACCAAACAGTAACCTAGGAGGCATCGTACATAAACTCTTGACAAACTAAGCACGTTTTTCGTTTTTTTGTAAGCCTTGCTCCTCCCAAGATAACCTACAAAGCTACAACTAAAACGACAACAGAATCAGCTGTTCTTGATCTAATAGCTGAATGCAATCTCCCTCACCTATCATATCATCATCAATCATTGCCCTCATCTCCAGCACTGTTTCCACCATCAAAATCTTCTTCGGCACTGTTGTCACCATCATCGTCTTCTTCGGCACTGTTATCTCCGTCATCATGTTCCTCTGACGATGTATCTTCATCCTCCTCAGATACATGATCACCGTTTTCATATAAATGGATAGGATCCAAGTCCATCACATAACCAAAGCCGTCGTTGATAATAAAGCCATCAGAATCATAATCACTGGAGATCCAACTATCTTCATCGTCCTTCAAAATTTAAATTCCACATCAGGATTCTAAATCACTCATATAGCAATAGCATTTTTTTGCAACTCTGTTCAAACTCAAAAGTAGGGCAGCAGAAACCGATATCTCCAACAGTGTCACATAATAAGAACAGGAATATGGTTTGGAGGATCATACGACTGTTATAATGCCAAAATAAAATAAGTTAACTTTGCATGGACTCAGAGATTAGATACCACATCCTTTTTAATTTTTCATTAAAATAATTTTCCATTTTAAAAGCTTAAACTATAATTTGATCACTATCTTTTAGTTTTATACCTTATATATAATATGAACTGTGGTGTATCAAACTACTGATCATTTCTTTTGCATTAACCAACATTACACGGATTTTCATAATGTTAGATTCTGGTAGTTCAATAGCGACTTCAACAAGAAACCGTCATTCCTAACTCAAGTTACTTTCTAATGTGAAACTGATCCTCTGTGGTCCTTTTCCTTTATACAGCGTACACTGGATACTTCAGATTCACAATACAAATACCAAGCAAGCTAATTCATTATGCAAATGTTGCTATGTGAAGATTTTTCCATGCCTATCCAATACATTAGGCGATTTATGGCAAGCTGTCCATACAAAGAACATAATAACCAACAAGGAATGAGAAGGATAAGAGACTCAAGTACAACATGCACATACCTCGTGAGCTTCAGTGATGGAGAGGTTTTCACCTTCACCAGGTTCCCAAATCTTGATATCTTTATCAATGCCACTACTTGCTAGAACAATCCCACAAGGGTGCTGTTCGACACAGTTTACAATCTGCTTATCTCCACGCATCGCTCTGATCAGTTCTGCATCCTTCTTTCTCCAAATACATATATTGCCACAGTCTGACCCAGAGGTAACAAAATCACAGTTGGGCCCAAGGAAGTTGACCCCCTTCATGGTTTCTACGTTCTTGTGTCCCTTGAATGTCTTAGGTATAGGCAACTTATCACCAAAGGAAAAGGAAGGCTCAATTGCATCCTTCAGGAGTTGTTTATTGACCTCAACATTGTTGAAGTGCAAACCATGCTCTCTTGAGAAAAGGTAGATATCGTCATGACTATAGGACGCTAATAGCTCGCTGGTCTGTGAGTAGGCCAAACCAGTTATTTCTTCTTCAATTTGACCAATCAAATGTGGAGGGCAGAAGTGCTCAGTTGGGCGACTGGAACTAGAATTCCCATCCACAAAAATCTTGCGGGTATCATATATCCTTACATACTGATCTGATCCAGCAACTGCGAAACAACAGGGCTTCCTTGGGTCTAAGGCAATAGCATAGAGTGCGATGTTTTCAGCAGCGTAATAGTCCGGAGCCCTACATTTAAATAGTTCCATGGCATTTTCCCCCCTGAGATCAAACTGGGGCGAGAACAGAGTCAGCAGATGAAGAATCTGAGCAGCGATAGAAAGAAGCAAAGGAACTCAACAACATACAAGCCACACGGAGCTATCTTGGCAGCAGCAGTAGAACGTGTGAGGACTTGCTGGCTCAACAGCCAACCTGTGTACTGCAAACTCCAACTCAACGAGTTTGTCTGTAATCACTCGACCCCCTTCCTGTATCTGCGAATGGATCACCTGTTTCGAATCCATAAATGACAAACGCAGACCAGATCATTGAATTTGTTGTTGCAAGGGCAACACCATGTAAAACTGTAACATATGCATACCTCCCCATCAGCAGCGCATGAGACGATGCTCCGATCACCCGAGACAGGCATGAACAGCGCGTGGTAGACGTTGTTGCTGTGCCCGGTGTGGAACGACAAGGCCGGCGCCGCCTCCTGCCAGTCCCAGAGCACGAGGGTCCGGTCGTCGGACCCGGAGAGGAGCAGCCTCCCGTCGGCGCTGAAGCTTATCGTGTTGACACAGCCCCAGTGCTTCCGTAGCCGCATTTGGATGTTGAGAGACTGCACATACTCCTGCGCACAGCACAGGCAAACTAGTCACAAGCTGCCCCCTCATCCTCTCCCAAACTCCCCAAGCGCGTAGGCGTAGCTCGAAGCCCAATCGTCGAACGCACTAATTCCTCAGTCCTACGCCCTAATTTTTCTTCGAATTCACGGAACCATGGTTGGTATAAAGTAGTAAAAACGGAGCCGTGAGATCCTCATCGGAGCACGAAATAAGAGACGAGGGAGACAGGAAAACCTTGGAGGCCATGACGGAGTTGGCGAAGCACTTGGGTGGGAGGCCGCCGACCTCGCGCTGCCACAGCTCCTCCATCCTCGTCCTCTCCGGCGGCATCTCCCCTCGCCGCCGCCGGTCACGAGGGTTCCCTTCCCTTCCCTTCGTCGGCTCGCCTTTTCGGCTCTTCCACAGCACCCACTCCACACTGGGAAACTGACAGATCTGAACCGTCCATCGCGTAGCGAACGGCTTCTTTCCTCACCCGCCCGCATCTGTCCTAACTGGGCCGGGCCGGAAAGGGTTGACCTCGAAGCCCACCAGCTGCTGCGGTCGCCCGACAAATACACAACGCGGAACAATTCGGAGCGGAGAGCGCAGTGCTGTGCACGCCACAACAGAAAGGGAGAGCCGAAGAGGGAAGAGGGAAGAGGGAAGAGGGGAGAAGCGAACGCGCAGCCAAACCCTAGCCCAGCGCGCGCTACCGCCGGGGAGCTCCACGGCCCCCGCCCCCGCCCCCGCCCCCGGCGCCGTCCCCGCTTCGCGACATGGTGATCCCCTCTTAATCCTCCTCCTCACCGTCGCTGTTCCATTCGTGTTTGTGATTTATTTTTTCTTTTCGTCCGGTGATTCCGTTGATCCCCGCACTGACGCTTTGCTTTTCGGGTGATGCTCCCTCTATGTCTTCGCAGGCCGATTCCCCGCGCAGGAGGTAACTACGCTGGCCTCTCTGTTCGTATATGGGCACCGTAATCCTCGGTCGTTGGTCACTCCTGATCTGGCCCTAGTGGTGTTAACTTGCTGTTGGATTTCAGCTTAGTTCTGTGTATGCTGTTTGGTTTCATTGGGGTAATATGGGAAAACTGAGGATCCATAGAGGATATAATAGGATCTGCGGGACGGAATGTCTGATTGTGATTTCTGTTGTTTTATTTGTCATGTTTTGAGTTAAATAATGAATCGTGAGGCTCGCTGTATCTTACTTCTTGTGCTTATGAGGGCAGTGGCAGCTGTATGTTTAGACGCCTTGTGCGTCTTAAGATCTCTAGTGGGAGCTCCTCGGTTATCAAATATGGATGAACCAGCTTGCCTGCATTAGTTTTTCTCTACTAAGTCCCTTTCTCCTAAAGGTTTTGGTGTAGCCTCCTAAACCTTCAATAACCACAAGCAGTGATGTTTTTCATGATATTGTTTTTGAATCTGGCACAACTTGCTTACTATCTAGATTGCGCATGTTTGTAATTTGTGTCTTTAAATCAGGTTAGGTTTGTGTTTGAATCGGTTATGTGCATGTTTAGTGTAGCCTAATACGCCTTTAACCAGAAACAATGATGTTTGTCATGATTCTGGCATGACTTGCTTGCTATCCAAAGTGTGCATGGTCGGGCCTGTTCGATTTCACAGTTGACACCAGGCAAACCTGCCTGGAGGGCAAAACATTCTCAGTCATTGCATTTTGGCTGCCTGGTGAGTGTTGCCTGGCTAGGGTTCAATCCAAACAGCCCCTTGATAGTTTTGACCAATTGTTAATGCACTTAATAGCTTAACTGGTTAGAGTCAGGTTCTATGTCTTTTTGAGTCTTATATAGACATGTCTCATTGTATTTATGAGGTCAGGTTAATTTTGGAGACATAATCCATGAACATACTTAAGTGCTAAGCTTCTCCTTGCATTCCTTTTGCTATGTTAATATAGTTCTACCTATTTGTCAGAAGTGCCCTCAAACAAGTGCTATTCATGTCAGGATTGAATTTACTAGCTCCTGAAGGTGTTAGTTTGTCATTGCACACAACTAGACTATTAGTTCTGGTGCTTTATCTTAGGGTACGTTTGTTTTGAGGAAAAGCTTGGTCCTAGGATTTGTCTGGCCATCATCTGGTCAATCCATTGTTTTTTAGGCAATGATGCCATTCTTATGTTTCATTTTCGTATGAGGAATAGTCTTTGAAACTTGGTCCATTACTCAGTTGAGGACAACCCTTTTCCTTGAAAAAGGCTGCCTTCTATACATTGTAGTCACGCATTGCTTAGAGAAACTGAAGAAACATCAAATGGTTTGTTAACATTTGCTGTAAATCAGTGCTGGAAGGCACCTCTGGTTTTTGTGGAGAAAGTATCCTCTATGGTGTTGTTGCTGCCTTTATATTGAGAGATATCACTTAGAGTTAAATTTAGTCGATTCATTCAGATAATTCATGGCATATCTACGTTAGTGATGAATGATAAGGCAAGAAACATCTGTTCTAGAAACACTTTATGAAATTTGCATTTTGCATTCTTTTATATCTGTGCTCATGGTCCTAATTCCTGCTGCAACATTGTGTTGGTTTTAAAAGTATCAGGTTGGCTACCAATTTTAATTATGACTATGATTTATATGTGGTGCCTATCGTATTTCAGTGTTCCTCTGTAACAGTGTCGTATCAATAGACATGGGATATCCTGTGAAGTTTGAAAACTGTGTAGATCAATAAAGTGATTTTGCATGCTCATTTAGATTTTCAACTGCACATTCTATTGCCATCTTTCACCGGAACAGTTTATCACAACTCTAAGCGTTGTTTAACATTTAATGCATGCCTGTGGCAATTTCTTATTTGTAGGTACTCGAGGTCCCCTTCATACAGCAGGGGGCACCCAAAAGCGAGGTCAAGGTCACAATCTCCAGCTCGGTCTCAGTCTAGGTCGCCTGTGCCTGATCCTAGATCTCAGGCGAGGTCAAGGTCTAGAAGCCATGAGAGGTTCTCAGTTTACTCCTTTCCTTCGTTTGCAAAGCTACATGTGCTTTAAAATGTTTGCTACACATGTGGTATAAATTGTTTGCTAGTGTGTTGCTTAAAATTGTATGATTTCCCCTTTATCACTAGAAAATTTGAATGCATATGGTAATTGTATTGCTGGAGTTAAGTGATATTCATGTTGTAATAGCATGTGTTGATGTGGGCTAAGAGTAAAAAAATCTGTTCTGCACCTATTATTATAGCTGTTCATTATATTTTCTTTTAAGTATTTAAACATGCCATCTTTGATATAGATTTGTTGTGATAGTTGAAAGTCATGCAATGTATTTGACTTGCAAACTACATATAGCGAGTATAAGGAATTTCGTTGCTTTGGTGAGAATGATTTGCAACAACCGATGTGTGATGGCCCAATGTAATATGGTAATAGTAGCTGAAATTGGAAAGGAAATTCACTGATAAAGAAGTAGATAACAGATTTTGCTAATGGAATAATGTTTTAATAGTTTGGATGGCATGTACATTTGGTGTAGACTAGTAAAAGAGATACAGTAGGAGAAAAGAGAGGCGAAAACATTGTTTTTCACTCAATGAGACACCTAAAGATTTCATGCCATTTAGTTTTACATTTGCTTATACTTTATCTGCAGTGGCCACATTCTGATTTCTTTCCTGTTTGCAGGGAGGAGGATGCTGTTAACCGCGGAAATACTCTGTATGTGACTGGGCTCTCTTCCAGGGTGACTGAAAGGGATGTTAAAGATTATTTCTCTAAGCATGGAAGGGTTAGTGACTTCATACAGAGTTAAGCTTAATCTCTCTGAGAAGTATCTCATCATGACATCTCTTTTGGACTAGGTGGTTGGTTGCCATGTTGTTCTTGAACCCCATACACGTGTTTCCCGTGGATTTGCCTTTGTCACCATGGACACTGTTGAAGAAGCTGAGCGTTGCATCAAGTATCTTAATGATTCTGTAATGGAAGGTCGAAACATCACAGTTGAGAAGGTAATTGTGTTTACCTCCACCAGGGTTGTTGATGCTAAAGAAAGCGCAACCATATATGTGCAGAGTGTTGACCTGGAAGTTTTTTTGGTTATTATTCAGAAGATATTGTGCAAGCTATGTCCAGCAATCAAGATGCTGAGTTCACCAATTCCAACTTTAGCTCATATGGCTCGATCAGTGGACAGCCCAAAGGGTTACCATGCACCACAAGATTCACAACAACTTAACATAGCAATTTTTCAACTAAACCTGAGCATTCACCTTCAACTTCCACATCAACTAATCAACGGGCATTGCCAACTCGTTAGTCAAGCATGTGTGGTGCCATGTGTGATAGCAACTTTGGATGCCTGCTAGTTGAAGTTTGGGCTCTTCGTTACTTATTTCCTCCCTTGGTCCGTTATTGCAGGGCGTGTATCCATTGATTGTAAGATGAGCTTGTAATTACTTACATGATCCTGAATGATACTACTTTTAATCTTATTACCATTCCTTGTAACCTGCCTAAAGTTTCTCTTTCCGTTGTTTCAGTCACGCCGTGGTCGCCCAAGGACACCAACTCCTGGAAGCTATCTTGGTATGGAAGCAGCATTATTTGTTATGTAGATACCAATTCATTTTATTTTACAACATCCTTTTGAACCCTTTCAGTATATTTGTCTGTTTCCCTTTTACTTTTGCCATGGCATGTCTTATCACTTATTGCTTGGTGACTCATCTGGAACCTTTTCTTTTGCTTTTACTGTATAAAAATATATCCTGTAGTACTCACTACTATGCAGTTATCCTACACTTTGACAGACCATTGGTATTACTCACTACTTATGCAGTTATCCTACACTTTGATACCATTGGCAGGCCATCGGTACGAGCGTAGAGAGCGCGGGAGATTCCGTAGAGGCTATGGTGGTGGACGAGATGAGTATTACGGCAATGGCGGTGGGTATGGCTACGGCAGGTCTCCGCCTCCCACGTACTCTTCCCACAGGGAGAGTCGAGACTATTATCCCTCCTACAGGGAGAGCCGGGACTATTATCCCTCCTACAGGGAGAGCCGGGACTACTCTCCCCACAGGGACCCTCGAGACTACTACGAAAGCAGGGGCGGCGGCCGGGGCTACTCCCCGCCTCCTTATGGCGGTGGTAGATCAAGGAGGGAGCGATCGATTTCGCCGTATCGGATGCCAGAAAGGGGCTATGGTGGAGGCCGCCGAGCGGGCGGCGGTGGCTATGACAGGTAAAAGTAGAGGTTTTCGCTCCGCCGTTTCGGTGGCGACCGACCGAACGGCAAGATGGACGTCCTCACGGCTGCTGCGATGGCGGTGTCTGGCCCTTGCAGCTCCCCCGTGATATGGTTAGACTGTTGTAGC